AAAAATAAAAATAAAAAGGGTGCAGGAGAGTACATATATTAGACACATTTGATTGTATATTCATAGAATACCTCTGGAACCAGCAACTTTGATTGCCCTGGGAAGAGAACTAGGTGGATAGAGAGAGCATTGGGAGGGAAGACTTTCAATGTATACTTCTGTGCCCTTTTGTACCTTTAGAATTGTGAACAGTCTTGTCTATTAAAAAGACAAGACTATTAATTGATAAATGAACATGGGGCAGACGCCTCATCATTTTTGATTTATTGACTTTGTAATAAGTAAATTTTACAAATTTGAACTCAAACACAACTACTTTTTTTGAGTTTGCATGTATTAATTTTGTGATAAGCATCATTATTAACCTAGAAAAAGAATTTTTTTCCTTTCTATGTGAGTGGATTTGGTAGACTTGTAAGATTTATGTAACTATAAAATTTTATAATTCTAGCTCTGCTACGTTATGCCATCATCCAGTGCAAGATGTGCTCAGTTTCCTCGAGCCCAGGACAAAGTTCATTACTACATTAAGCTGAAAGACTTGAGAGATCAGTTGAAAGGCATTGAACGAAACACAGACGTTCAAGAGGTGCAGTATACGTTTGATCTACAATTAGCCCAAGGTTTGTTCCCGTTTTCACCCCATTTATTCATTTCATGGATCTGTACATTACAGAAAGCATGTTGTGGATTTAAAAGCAGGAGAAAAGAAAAGTTATATTTGCAGCCAAAGTGCTCTGACAATAGACATTAGTCACTGTTAAAAAATCTCCTTTTACCAAAGTCATCCGATGTGGGTACTCCTGCAGATGTTGAGGATACAAGAAACATCATAGCCCACCTGAAATTAAATCTAATAGGCTTTTACAGTTCTTATGAGTTACTTTAGTATATGTTATAAAGAGTTTAAAAGATAGCAAAAGATATATCTCAGTATACGTGAACTAGAAAAAGATTTGTTCGTGATGACTTCTGAATAAAGCTATTTTCAAAACGATTGTATAAAATCCATTTTAAATCCCTCTTACTCTCCTCACAGAGGATGCAAAGAAGATGGCTGTTAAGGAAGAAAAATATGACCCAGGTTATGAAGCAGCGTATGGCGGCGCTTATGCAGAAAATCCGTGCAGTGGCGACCCTTGCAGCTTCTCTTCTAGGGGGCTAAGTATGTTCCCCTCCATATGTGCATTCCTTTCAAATGCTTGGTTTTGTCAGGACTGGGGAAAAGGGGTGCTTTTTTGTTTTTTTTTAAGAGAATGAATTATTGAAGCTTAGGAACGGGACCATGAAAATCTTTTCAGTGGCCGGTAGTGAAAATGTGGTGGTTATCTGATGTTCCACCACACGTGCGTGTGCAGCTGATTTTCTCTAAGTCACCGAGTCATCCTAATCGCATTCCCTCCATGAATAACAGTTGAGGGATTCTCAGTCCTGTGTCTGCCGAGAGAACAGGGATTTATCATTATAATCAAGAAGCTTGTGTAACTATTTTAATAGCAGTTTCTCTTCACTGGACTGCTCAGACCTCCTAGTTGAATCCTGTAACGTTCTTAGATAGAATAAACTAATCCTAACATTCTTTTCCCCCCTGGCAGCTGACAGTGGAGAATCAACTTTCGGTGACATTCCAAATGGGCAGTGGATGACCGAGTCGTTTACAGACCAGATTCCTTCCTTTAATAATCATTGTGGGACGCTGGAACAAGAAGAAGGAAACCACGCTTAAGAGTGGTGTTTCTCAGCTCTTCCTAAATGCTGCAGTTTTAATGCAGTTGTCAAGAAGTGGCCCTCAGTTTGCTAACTGAGGCATTTTATTAGTATTTTACTCTGTGATATAATGATAGTACAGTTGTGTGGTAGAATCAACTGTATGAACCTAAGTAAGTTGGGAAAGAAAAAGTAGGGTTTTTGTGTATGAGTTTTTGTATTTGAATTAACCATCATTCCAGCTTTTTATAAACTATACTTCATTTATGAAGAAATTGATTTTCTTTGGGGAGTCACTTTTAATCTGTAATTTTAAAATGAAACAGTCTGAATATTTATACTTGATTATTAACTGTGCATAAACCCAGATAGACATTATTCCTTTTATGCCTAAGAAGGGCATGCTAATAATAATTACCACTGATAAAGAGGCAAATGTGTTCGTTTTTGTATATGAAGTTAACCCACAGTGGAGGCTCATTTGGTAGTTTTTAGCAGTGTTTGATGGGCTCCCTGAGTGATACTTACACTCACACCTCTTTGCCTCACCAATGGGGAGTGTTTGTGAGAGATGCCCAGCAGTAGAAATGTAAAGTGTGGCCTTCCAGCAGCAAGGCTAGCCTGGCCTTCTCTGACGGGGCACCGAGGCCTGACTTTGACCTCGTCACCCCGGGTGTTAATCCTCTAGTACAGGTAGAAACTGTTGTGTGGGATGGTAAGTTCCAGAGAATGCAGTAGACCTTTTTTAAGTTTGTTACTTCTTCCTCTGTGTTTTACTTGAGAGACATACATTTGATAGGGAAGGAACTGAATTTTTTGTACAATATCTATCACCATTCTAATTTTATCCTCCTCGGCTTTAAGGGTATAATGTGGAAAGTGGTGAGAAATGAACTCTTAGGTGGAGCAACAACATGCTGGAGATGTTTGATAGTCTGATTTAAATTGGTGCTTTATATGTACATGAGGTATATTAAAATAACAGAATTGTTCTTGCTAGGTATATCTAATCAATAATTTAAAAAATCTCTATATCATTGTCTGTTACTGTGGACTAAGTGAGCCTCATGGCGGGGTTAGTTTGAAGTAACGTACCTTTGTGATTTTATGCCTTTTCCATGGTGCTACAGAGTCCAGACTACTAGGCCTGGTGCATAGTAAAGCTGGGTATTCAGAAATGCCATTTGCAATTACTCCTGGTCACTTCTGAATATCCTGATTTCATACATACCCAGGGAGCATGCTGTTTTTCAATATGAAAATATTTATGAGTTGTTTTTTTTCCCTAAGAGATTATATGGCGTGTTCTTTGTATAGTAAGAGAAACAAAGTCTTGTGAATCTTAACATGCTTTTTAGCTGTGGCTATGATGGATTTTATATATCCCTTAGTCTAGTTCAAGCTGTGTAAAAGTTATTCAGCCCATGTTATTTAACTCATGTACTGTACTGCTGTTTACACAGATGTTTTATGCGGGTGCTTGGAAGTGCCTTGCATCAGGGATTAGGAACAATTGAATTATTTTTTCATGGGACTATGTAAAGCATGTAAGTAGGAATTGCTTTGGTATATAATGATTGTAGCCTTACAATAGATTTTTTTTTTTTGAGTGGAGAAAATACCCTTTAAATTATGATGGACACTCATTAGAGAGGGGGTTTGAGGAGTTTCCAAGCATACAATAATGGTGTTTTTCATTACATATGAAAGATGAGTAGTAAATGTTGATATATCCTATACATGACAATATGGGACTTTTTCATTAAATAATATTGAAAAAGTTTTTAAATTCATTTGAAAGTCTTGATGGTTTTTACAATAAAAATATTAAGAATCAGGGCGCCTGGGTGGCTCAGTTGGTTAAGCGACTGCCTTCGGCTCAGGTCATGATCCTGGAGTCCTGGGATCGAGTCCCGCATCGGGCTCCCTGCTCGGCAGGGAGTCTGCTTTGCCCTCTGACCCTATCCCCTCTCATGTGTTCTCTCTCATTCTCTCTCTCTCAAATAAATAAATAAAATCTTTAAAAAAAAAATATTAAGAATCATTATCCTAAGTTGCAAGTTTTTCTGCAGTAGGAGTGACTGGTATTCTTTCCCCCTTTACATGTGAGGTCGGTCTACCCTGTATTATGTTTAATGTGTAGAATAATACATATACTGAAAATCATTAGAAAATCTGCAGATATTTTATTTTTTCAGACATTCATGTTTTAAACGGAATATATTGTTTTACAAAAGACTCGCAACCTGTTAAAAAATACCTAAAAAAAGATGTGTGTGAAAAAAACACATCTAGAAATTTTTAAAAATTGTGAATATAAGTTGTCATTCAGAATTAAGCAAATTGATTGCTGAAACCGAGACGGGTTTGTTTCCTTCCAACAATACAGCTCACGCACCTCATCGTGATTTCCGTAATCCCCCCCGTACTTAAGGAGTCCATGCCTGCATGACCCAGGGTACTGTTTGCACACAGTAGTCTTTGTGGTTTCCATTGTGGATCATATGTCTTGAAGGTACTATTCATAAAGAACAATGAAATAGTAGGGCTACAAATGCACAATTCCACATTTTTATGTAGGAAATACTTAAAATGTTAAGTTATATCAGCTATTGTGGTGATTGAGTTTAAATATTCCTGCAGGGTCAGGAACAAACCAGCTTTCCCATAAGTCATTGTGAACACTAGGGAAGTCCCAAGGTTTATGTCTTCCATTCCAGTGGAGTAGTTTTGCTTCCTGCAGAAAATGCTCCGAATATCTGGTATCTGGATTCCAGCCTTCATGATGTTTAAAAGAAAGTAATAGGCTTGTTAGAAAGTACAATTTTTATATTGAAAAGTGAGTACAAGTCCATTATTTTTTTTAAGATTTTATTTATCAGGGGCGGCTGGGCGGCTCAGTCGTTAAGCGTCTGCCTTCAGCTCAGGTCATGGTCCCAGAGTCCTGGGATGGAGCCCTGCATTGGGCTCCCTGCTCAGCGGGAAGCCTGCTTCTCCCTCTCCCACTCCCCCTACTTGTGTTCCCTCTCTTGCTGTCTCTCTGTCAAATAAATAGATAAAATCTTAAAAAAAAAAAAAAAAGATTTTATTTATCAGAGAGAGGGAGGGTCCTGGGATCATGACCTGAGCCGAAGGCAGACGCTTAATGACTAAGCCACCCAGGCGCCCCTTGTTTTAGATTATCTTTCTGTGAAAGAGAATTTGATATTTTTTTAAAACTGAAAATCCCTTAATTAAGAGAGGGTGGATAGCTGGAGTTGTGTGTTAGTCCAGCTTAACATGATGCAAGAAAAAAAAAGCCATCTTCTATTAGAAACATAGCTGTGAAGGCGGTCGCGGAAGAGGAGCTAGGTGTTTCAGGCTGGGTGACATAATGGGAATAATTATCAACTTCCAAAGACTCTATACAAAGGAAATGCTCATTTGGGAAGAAGCACCTTATAGTCTCCACCTGGGGACATCATCTGTCTGCTCCATGATCGGAGGACTCCCTATGGGCTTGCAGTTTGCTTTTAGCTAAATATATATCATACATTTTTAAAATCTTAAGCCTACCTGCTTAGACCCAAACTTAATACCCATTAGTGTTACATTGCTTTCTGCTTCCAAAACGCCCTAAAACTGAATCATTTTTCAAATGATTTCTGTGTAGATTTACTTTGCAGACTTCCCCGATTCCAAAACCTTCACAGATGTAGTCTCTGTTCTACAAAGAAAAATGATTTCTTTCCCTTAGGAAGATTCTGCGCCTTCCTACTTACCAGTTAGATATTTCATAAAAGTGATTGAGACTCTGTTCAAGATCATAAAATGCTCTAACCTTATCAATCTAAGCTCCGCGTAACTATTCCTACACAACCTTTTTTATAGACCTACAACTTTGATGGGATTTTCCGCACATTCATTTCATGGAAATAATGATATTTGACCTAACAATGAACCCAACATTATTATAAATCAAACCAGATGGAACACTAGTGTCCTTAACTTCCCTGTGTTGCCTCTGTGTGCATGCAGATGCTCAGGAAAATCGAGGAAGATTCTGATAATGAGGCAGAAGCAAATCTGTACAGAATCATTAAGAGGAGACAGGACCCAGCTTCTATAGTTTTATGTGCCCCTTCTTTTAAAAGGGAGAGTAAGGGACATACCACCTTGCAGGTTGTTCTGAGAATTAGAACTAATATTCACCTTTGTCACCAAAACCTAGCTCAGTTCTTTACAGTGTAGAAGGTACTTAGTAAATATACATCCATAAGCCATTGTCTCCAATTCTAAAATAATGCCCAAATGTCTGAAAACAAAAGGATTTTTAATAACTTTTTTGGTAGCAAAACCTAGATCCCACTCAGAGTATTGCATAACATAAATGTATGCATCACATTACCTTTTTAAAATTCAAAAGCTTTCTCATTTCTAAACAGGTCTGGCCCAGTGCTTTTGGCTAAGGGATTGTGGCCATGTGTTTGAACAAATGTGTCTTCTGCGCCAGGCTCTGTGCTAAGGAATTTACATGTATTAGGGAATTTATTCCTTAAAAAACTTTATAAGGTTCTATTAGCTTCAGTTTACAAATGGAGAACTAAGGTACAGAAAGGTTGAATAATTTGCCCAACATAGGTAATAGCAGAGTTGGGATTCCAGTCCATATCGCAGAGCCTGCACTCCTGCCGTGAGGACTGAATAGAAGACACATGGTACACAGTCAGGAGTCAACTTTTTAAACGAGAAGTTTCGAGCGATCTAGGTGCATCATAAACCATTATGCTAATTCATTTGGTTTTGCCCACTGCAAGCTACTGCAAGAGGGCAATAAAGGCAAGTGAAAAAGTTCTGACAGTGAAAGTTCTATTTTAACAGTAGGTAATGTTTATTGAGCACATACTCAATGCTAAGCATGAGTCTAACTGCTTCCCATGAATCCCTAGAAACGCACCTCTCAGGCCATTTTTATCAGCTGCATTTGTAGAATCTGAGCAACGAAGGTTAAATAATGGATGACCTCCAAGATCGCCTGGAGGATCTGAACTGAGGTAGCTGGTGCTATAGCAAACCGCCCCCCCCACCCACCCCCACCCCCGGTGCTCACAGACCTGTAAGATGCACATTTGTGTTGTCGCCCTAAAATACTTACCCAGGTGCCTTATGTGCCACAGGGGGTTGATTGCAGAGTATTTCCCATGAAACACAATCAGCATTGGGGAGGTGGCTACCCCTCCTCCCAGGGAGCTGCTGTAGAGATTTTCCCTAAGAAATGGAATAGAAGAGCAACATTTGGCCTCGAGCCGCAGAGACTCACATAAAGTAGAACTTACTAATTTTGAAAGATGTAAGACAGTCTCCCACTATATAGTAAGACTATAGTTTTTCATTTTCCCCCAACTTTTTATTTTGAAAATTGTCAGACTTACACAAAATTGTAAGAATACCATGAATTCCCATATAATTTGTCTAGACTCACAGCATAGCATTTTGCCATTTTAATTTTCAGCCTTTTTTTTTTTAAGATTTTATTTATTTATTTGACAGACATAGCGAGAGAGGGGAACACAAGCAAAGGGAGTGGGAGAGGGAGAAGCAGGCTTCCCACGGAGCAGGGAGCCCAATGTGGGGCTTAATTTTCAGCCTTTTTTATAGCAAATACAGAAGATCAAATTCTGATCCTACATTATGTAGAATAACTACTTACAAATTCAAGGTTATGATGGCATTTAAAATACCCGGATAAAAAAGGTGGACAGGAAATAAAACGACATGATAATAGTGGTTGTGTTAGAGGGGTTTTTTTTCTCTATTTTAAAACTTCGATAATGAAAAATGATACATTTTTAAAAATTCAACCTTCAAAAACAAAGTTGAGTTTATAAAATCATTCTTAAAAACGAATCTATGGGGGCACCTGGGTGGCTCAGTCGTTAAGCGTCTGCCTTCGGCTCAGGTCAGGATCCCAGGGTCCTGGGATCGAGCCCCACATCGGGCTCCCTGCTTTGTGGGAAGCCTGCTTCTCCCTCTCCCACTCCCCCTGCTTGTGTTCCCTCTCTTGCTGTCTCTCTCTGTCAAATAAATAAATGAAATCTTAAAAAAATATATCTTTAAAACTAAAAAAAAAAAAAACGAATCTATGTAAGAAGGAGATACCAACTGAGATAAATGATTTTCAGTGGAGAAGGTTCACTAGGCTTCTAGGAGAAGACTTAAAATTACATTATTAATTCATTAGAAAAATGTTTGCATAATAAGATTCTGCAGGATCTCGCTTCTGCTGACATACCATCTGAGACTAGATTTTCATCTGTTGTCCCCATTCTTTCTCATCAGTGCCTCTGTAAGAAAATCTGATCTAAGATGTCTGTGAAATATTTCTAACCCGAGTTATGCATAGAAAATTAATTGAATAATTCTGTCGCCAAGCATGGAAAATGGTAGAGAGGTTTACACATACTCCACATTTTTTTGCATCCACTTCTCCAGTTGTTTGGTGATGCGCTGGTGCTTCCATTCCGTCATGTTGACCACAATCACACCCGGGTTGAAAGAGCAAGTGCTGGGGCTTATGCCAAGGTCTTTTATAGTCTTCTTCCGGTAGTCCAGATAGCCCATGTATGTATTCTAGAAAGGAACGGGATACGCTTTTGAACAGATCTTTTGTTTCTGAAAAATAGTCATTTTCGTGAAACAACCATGCAGTATTTCTGTGTTTCCTGCTGTGTCCCCAGCCACTTCCTAGCGTCCCCGGCTGGTTTTCTCCCTTCCCCAGCTTCTCTTCCAGCACCTGTTCCTGTCTCTAGCACTA